CGGTAGACGAAACTGACGATGCCGCGGTAGCCGGCGCGGGGGACCCCGGATTTGAGGTCGTCCATCAACCCCAAGGCCTTGGCAAAAGCCTTGAAGGCCTCACGCCCCTTGTACTGGAGTCTGACAGTTCCCAGTTCCCGTTTCCGGTTTCCTTGAAGTTCTTCCACTTTGATTTCCGGGGCGGAATAAACTTTGGAGAGGAAAGCCTGTTGGTAGTCTTCTTTTTTGAGGTAAGAAAGATCCAGTTGGGTAAAAGGCACGAAACGGTCGTTGAGTTTGATGAACTTTAAGTATTGGTCAAAAAACTGCCCGTGGCTGACGCCCTTGCGACCAAAAGTCATGGTCCTGGAGACCTCGGGGCGGATGCAGGAACGACCCCGACGCTGTTCCGGTTGGCGCATCCAATCGTCCCAAAAAGCTGGTGGCCACTTGGGTTCGAGTTCATCCCAAAGCTCAGCCAAGAGCAACCAACCCAAGCCCGGGAAGAAGTCGGTGCGGTAGAGAAGCTCCGCTTGGTCGACGTCGACCATCTGCTCTTTGCCGTTGTCGTTCCAGGCCGAGACGCACCAGAGGCTGGGGTCGGTTTGGAGGAGGGGGAAGGTGGCTTGGAAGTACTCAAAGAAATCTGGAGCCACCTCTAGGTCGTCCTCCACCACGATGACGGCACGGTAACGGAACACCCGGAACACCTGCCCCAACGCCCAGCGGTAATGGCGGGAGATCTTGTAGTAACCTTGAAACTTCCGGTGTTCCGGAGGGACCGGGATGTCCCCGAGGTCTGGTTGGTGGAGGTGGGTGACGAGGTCACCGTAGGAGGAGATGACGCGGGAGGTCTCGGCGTGGCCACAATCTTGGCTGACGATGAGGGGGAAGCGTTGAGGGGATTTTTGGGCCTTTCCCCCCCCATTTCCGGCGCCCCCACAAGCGGTGGATCTGCCGCAGGAGTTGACGTTGTCGCTCCAACTCGGTTTCGGCGTCTTGAGCCAAGCGGATGATTTGGTGGGTGAGGAGGGAAGAGGAGGAAGAGGAAGGGGATGAAGAGGAAGGCGGGCGGCTCCAGAGGAAGAGGAGGAGGAGGCCGTGCCAGGCCAGGAACAAAACGACCCCCCAAACCGCCCAGTCGCGCTTCTTCGGCATCGTTCAATCCCGCTCCATCCGCCTGGGGGAGGGAAGGAGAAGATCACCCCGGGGGGTCCAGAAAAGGGTTAAAACCCCCCCAAAAAAGGGTTTAAACCCCCCAAAAATAGACCCCCAAAATAGGTTCAAACCCCTGGGTTTTGGTTGCTCCAGAGTGAAGGTTTGAAACCTCCCAACCCCCCTGTTCGATCCCGCTCCATCTGCCTGGGGGAGGGAAGGAAAAAATCACCCCAGGGGGTCCAGAAAAGGGTTAAAACTCCCCCAAAAAAGGGTTAAAACCCCCCCAAAAAAGGGTTTAAACCCCCCAAAAATGGGTTCAAACCCCTGGGTTTTGGTTGCTTCAAAGTGAAGGTTTGAAACCTCCCAACCCCCCTGTTCAATCCCAGTTCACCCACCGGGGGGGGAGGAGGAAAATATCACCTCAGGGGGTCCAAAAAAGGGTTAAACCCCCCCCCAAAAGGGGTTAAAACCCCCCCAAAAAAGGGTTTAAACCCCCCAAAAAGAGACCCCAAAAATGGGTTCAAACCCCTCGGGTTTGGTTGCTTCAAAGCGAAGGTTTGAAACCTCCCAACCTCTCTGTTCAATCCTGCTCCATCTGCCTGGGGGAGAGGAGGAAAAAATCACCCCAGAGGGTCCAGAAAAGGGTTAAAACTCCCCAAAAAAGGGTTAAACCCCCCCAAAAAACATCTCTAAATCCCCCCAAAATGGGTTCAAACCCCTCGGGTTTGGTTGCTCCAGAGTGAAGGTTTGAACCCTCCCAACTCCCCTGTTCAATCTCAGTTCACCCGCCTGGGGGAGGGAAGGAAAAGATCACCCCAGGGGGTCCAGAAAAGGGTTAAAAATTCCCCAAAAAGGGGTTAAAACCCCCCCAAAAAAGGGT